TCCAATAAAATGGTAACGATGTCTATATAGTGACCCAGAGACATACATAAGCCATAGGTACATGATTTTGAGCTTGCACTTAATCATAGCCTTAACCTAAAAACAATTAGTTCTCATGACATGGCCCTACTTTCTCACTCTCGTGAAGAGATCACTGAAGATCATTATAGCAAAGTGTGGTGAAGTGCCCAGCTATCAGAAAGAATAGTGTCTTGGGTCTTAAAGATATCGAAGTTATCATCAGCTAAGTCTACACAGAAGAAGCACCTCAGTCTGTGTGATCCAAGGATTGTAAATAACAAAATCCAAATCTGGAGGAAGGAACAGTTATCAGAGCTTAAACTCTGAACACCCTTTTTGCAGAAGGATGGCAGTAAAAGCCCAAAACTATTTGCATGGTCCCCATATGGATTAAGCCATCAGAAAAATCTCCATTGACCATAGTGCAGGATGTGAATATCCTTGCTACCAGATAGAGAACATTGTAACGTGGAATATGGCAGATGCGGTTACATTAAAATGTAACACTTTATCACTTGATATCCCCTTTGACCCATTTTAAATTATTTTCTGTTTTTAACATTTTCTTTTTAATCGAAGAACTTCATTCTGTCATTGTTATATTATCTTGGTTTTGTATGTTTTTCTATATAGGAAATTTAAGATAGTTGGGGGGAAATGGGATCCAACAATAATGAGTACAAGAAAATGTTCTAAAATTGATTGTGGTAATTGCACAGCCCGTCTTAATATAACTGAACTACTGAATATTATGCTATTTGAATTACATTTATATATTACAATAAAACCATTAAGAAATAACAAAAAGGAAAAAAGCTTGGATATTCTGAATTGACACCCAGCCTAGACCATGGTTGCCACAGATGAGAGAGAAGAGACCGGCTAGCATAAGTGTACACAGTTGCATGAATTCCTGAGCCTATGAGCACTGACAGGCAGGGAGAGATGGTGGGAGAAGAGGTATACATTCACATTGTTGTTAGCTGTGTCAAGTTGATTCCAACTCATAGAGACCCTATGTGTAAGAGAATGACACACCACCAGCCTCACAATTGTTATTATATTGAAGCCCACTGTTGCAGTTGTGTCAAGCCATCTCTTCAAGGGTCTTCCTCTTTTTCACTGCCCTTCTACTTCACTGCCGATCCTTTTTCAGGGACTGGTCTCTCCTGACATGTAAGTCTCGCCATCTTTGTTTCTAAGGAGCATTCTGGTTGTACTTCTTCCAAGGTATGGGTGTGTTTGTTTGTTTGCTTATTTATTTTTTTTCCAGCAGTCCATGGTACTCTCAATATTCTTCACCAGCACCATAATTCAACTTGATGAATTTAAATTCATCGATTCTTCTTCTGCCTTCCTTATTCAATGTCCAACTTTCACATGCATATGAAGCGAGTGAAAATATCATGTTTGAAGCAGGTACACCTTAGTCCTCTAAGTGATATCCTTGTTCTTCAACACTTTAAAGAGACCTTGGGCAGCAGATTTACCCAATGCAAAGTGCCATTTAATTTTTTGACTGGTGCTTCCATGAGCATTTTTGTGGATCCAAAAAGATGGAACCCTTAACAATTTCAATCTTTTCTCAATTTATCGTGATGGTCCAGTTATGAGGTCCAGTTGTGACATCCTTGGTATTCTTTACGTTGAGTTGTAATGCATACTGCAGACTACAACCCTTTACCTTCATCAGCAAGTACTTCCAGTCCTTCTCTCTTTCCACAGTCAAGGTTATGTCATCAGCTTATCGCAAGTTGTTAGTAAGTCTTCCACCAAGCCTGATATCATATTCTTTTTTATATAGTCAAGCCTCTTGAAGGATTTGCCCTGCATACAGATTGAATAAGTATAGTGACACATGTAGTTCCTGATTTCAGGCCGTGTGCTATTCCCATGTCCTATTCAAACTGCTACTTTTGATCCATGTCCATATTCTACATAAGCACAATGAATTGTTTTGGAATTCTAAATGTTATCAGTAGTTGGCTATGATTCATACAATCAATGCCTTTGCACAATCAATAAAAGACAAGTAGACATTTTTCTAGTATCCGATGCTCTGAGCCAAGATCCATCTGACATCAGCAAAAATATCCCCATGTATATGTGTGTATGCACTATTGCTGGTACCCACTGAACCAGCTTACATGGCTAGGGATGAACTGACCCAAACCTGACTAAGTGAATAGAAAGATGTTGACACTATTGAGCTGGTGTAAATTGCTTCAATTTGATGGCTTGCTCTAGACTGGGCTTTTCTTTATGAATGTATATGCCCGAAGTTGTGGAATAGAAGATTCTTCAGATCAAGGCCCATACTGTCTCTTCAGAGTACTGGTTTGATAGGGACAGATGAATCAGAAGTTGGCTATTTAAAATGGGGGAACAAAAAGGCATGGGATAGCTAGCTTATATGCTTTCATGGTTGTGATTATAATTTGAATGGCTGAGTGGGGGGAAGTTAATGCATCAAGTATGAAAAATATGGTGGCTAGGAGGTGACCTGCAGTGTTATGAATTATTTAGTACGGTCCTTCTAGCTACAGTACTTATAACCACCAAGTGACTGGACTGTTGTTGTTGTCGTTGTTGTTGTTGTTAGGTGCCATCAAGTCAGCTCTGAATAGCAATCCTATGTACAACAGAATGAAACACCACCCAGTTCTGTGCCATACGCACAATTGTGCTTATGTTTGCAGCTACTGTGTCAATCCATCTCGTCAAAGGTCTTCTGCTTTTTTGCTACCCTTGTGTTTTATCAAGCATGATATCCCCTTTCAGGGACTGGGCTCTCCAGATAACATGTCTCAAGCACACGAAGTCTTACCACCATCTTTGCTCAAAGAAGCATTCTGGCTATACTTCTTCCAAGATAGATTTGTTTGTTCTTCTGACAAATGTGAGGTACTTGTGGCCCCCCAAGAAGATTGAGATAGCGGGAGTGGGATCATGCAAGTAAGATATATGGGTGTATCAATCTTAAGGTAGGGATTATCTGTTTTGCCATTTTGGTAGGCTTGAAATGAATCATCCCAGAGGAAGAAAAGAGGATTTTATTACTATCAAGGAAGAAGATCCAGTAGAAGAACAAATCATTTGGACCCAAGATCCTGTGCTGAGCCTGCTAGGTGCAGGAGACACACAGGTCCCTGTGTTGGACCTCTTCAGTCCAGGGATGGTGAGAGGTAATGAGACGCTGTGGTAGATAGGTAGCTGGAGGAACCAGGAGTCTTGCAGGAAGTATCACTGTGGGCTTTCCAGCTCATGGATCAAGAAAGCTGAGTGCCTTTAGGGCAGGAGATTTACAGGCCGAGTAGGGTATCATTGGGCACTTATTCAGGGGACCTAAGTTTCCCAGTCCATGAAGTAAGAAATCTAAGTGAGAGCTTTCTGGGGGAGTGGGATGTCTCTGTACACTTAATTGTCAAGCTGAAAGAGTTTTGTAACATTTGCTTGAGCAGGACAGGGCTAGTCCGTGAGTTGAGGGATAGAGAAAGTCAAGCCAACAGGCACAGATAAAGGGAGGTTGTCCTGATCAATGAATTATATTCTTAGTATTCCTTATATGAATTGTAACCCGTTACTTCCCTTGTAAACCCCATCACTGTGATATGATTTGAGAGTCTTGGGTGGCCATTGAGACAGATTGTCAAGTCTCGCAGAGTAGAGAATGCTGTGGGAGGGACAGTTGTCTCAGAATTGGTAAGAAAATTGGAGTGTGGAAACACTCACCGCATAGGAATCAGCCTTGGGCAACTGATCCTGAGATAATACTCCCTTCCCATTGTGAAGAAAGAGTAGGTTAGAGACTGCTGCCCCTGTATAATTTCTAACAGTGCAGCACGATGTTCTGAACTCAAGTCCTCAGCAACTCTGCCTGAATTGTGCTGAAGACAGGATCCCACTGGGAGCAACCAATATCCCTGATCTGCAAAAGTAGCCAACCTATGCTTTTCCTTCACTTGTCTGCAAGTACACTTCTGCTCTTTGCAAAACACAGCTGAGTTGCCACGTCCCTCTGAAGAGCTTGTCTCCCTTTACACAGAAAAGACCATTCCCTGATGTTTGTGCCCCCAAACAACAACAAAATCCAAACTCACAGCCATTTAGTCTGTCCTGATTCATAGCAACTCTAGAGGCCAGGGTAGAACTACTCCAGTGGGTTTCCAAGACTAGCTCTTTACAAGAGTAGAAAGCCTCATCTCTCTCCCATGGAGGAGCTGGTGGGTTTGAACTGCTGACCAATACATAGCCACAAGCACTGTGTAAATGCCTCAGCCTCAGCATGATTTCCTTAAATGAGAATCACTCATTTCTACCTTTATTTACCCTGCCTGACAATGGAAGACAAAAGGGCTGGGGCTATCTTTCTAAAAAGCCGTTGTGCACTTTAGGTTCTTTAGGGTATCTGATATTTGGAAAATGTTCAACAAATGTTATATGCACAATTAGATGAGTCATTGGGGTAGACTCTTTGGGGCTAAGGAGATGCTAATCATGGGGGTCTAAGGAAAGAGGAACTCGGTCTCTGGTTCCACAACTGCTTCTAGACTCCTCCCAGCTCTTCCATGTCTTGCCTAGACTGCCTGGTTTCTGTTCACTAGATATAGGAAAAGGCTGTCTCTTTGGAACGACGTCTGAGCCCAAATCTTTCTCAAAGCAAATAGTGGTATGCTCCACACGAGACTGCCATCATTTATGGGGCCCAATGAAAAATGAAAATATGGAGTCCCTGGTTGAAAAGTTATTAACATTTTCAAGATGGTGACTGCAGATCGTGTGAATTCATAGGAGTGAGATGTGTAACGTCGTCAGCAGCTCACCTCATTAGAAAAGCCAACTGGATGTTGCAAATGTCTTGATCTTTGATAAAAAAGCTTAAAGAAACAAGAATTTATGGAGTAAGATTCCCCAAACATGCCTGAACCTGAGAAGTCAGTCCCATGAGTGTTGGTAAGGTGCTCATGCTTGTGACTCACCTGGCAAGGACTCCAGCAGCTCCTGCACAACCTCAGTGTGTCCGAAATGTGTGGCTTCCACGGCAGGGTTGTCATCATTAGGCTCTGTGGACAGCTGCACCCTCCTCTCAGTGAGCAGATAGCGCACTGTTTCCAGGTCTCCGTTGGCTGAGGAGATGCTAAGAAGCTGGCCCTGTTTGAAACAGAGCAGGGCTTGGTTTAGATAGGTGCTGTTTGGAGAACAGACTTCAAAGAAACATGTTGCCAAGTTGATACTCACTGCCATTGAGTCAATGCTGACTCAGTGACCCACTATGAGTTTGGGCTTCTGAGACTGGGAGTAGAAAGTCCAGTCTTTCTCCCATAGAGCTGCTGGTGGTTTTGAACTGCCAACTATGCAGAGCATAGCATAGCCCAACTCATATAACCACTATGCCACCAGGGTTCCATTACCAAGCTGATGCATAACACTAACACTGAGTTTTCTGGCACGGAAGTCACAGATCACATGGGGCTGCTGAGTTCTTGCAGTGTGGCCAGTACTAAGCGACATGTACTCAAAGTACACGGTGCATATGTGATTTTGAAGATTATACAAAATAAAAGGAATGTATCTCTTTAATTACTTTTATTTTGATTGCATGTTAGAAAGGATGATTTTAAATCTATGCAGCCTAAGTAAAAAATATTATTAAAATAAATTTCACATTTTCTGCTGGAAAATTTGTAGTCCGTAGGTGGTAGAAACAGTGAAACAAGTTTAGTTACTAATTCAAAGGTTGGCTGTTTGAGTCTACCAAGAGATGTCTCAGAAGAGAAAATAGGTGACCCACTCTGAAAAATCAGCACTATAAACCCTGCTGTAAACCCATGGTTCAGTTCCAACACACGTGGGGTGGTCCAGCATCAAAGTTGACTTGATACAACTGGCACTGGTATTGGAAATTTTAACACCAGATGTGTGGCTTACATTATAATTCTATTGGACAATGGTGCTCTATGGGAAACAGAAAGATTTCTCCCAAGTCCTCTGGGCCCACCATAGGTGGAGCCCACTCCCTGCTGTTAAGGACAATGGGCTACTTCTCCCTAAAGGCTTGGGGCCATCAGTTTGGTCCCTGCAAGGTGGGTTTAGACCCTACTGATAATGGTTTCTATAGTGAGCCAGAGTACAGGTCAAAGCAGCTCAGTGATATCCAAAATTAAGCTCCTCCCTGAATCTAGAATCAGCCCATCTCGTCACATATGTGCCCCCAATACTTCCCCTTCCTATTGCATTGAAACCTCTAGATCACCCCCCTCCCATTATTGTATTACCTATAGCACAACTGTTTCCTGTGATGTATGTCTTTACCTATAATTAGGGGGCTTGCTCACCCACCAAGGATATATAAGCTTGAGTTAGCAATAAAGAAATCTCTCTTTCTCTCTCCACGTGGTCCACCAAGTGAGGCTGAGGTAGGCATGCTATCATGAAATGTGGCTGACTCCATTAGTTCAATCTCTCATGCTCTCTATGTCTTTACTATAATCTTTACTTATTATCGCTGTACAATTGCACCTACCAGACCCGTGATGATGTGTTAGGGGCTGGTTTGCCTCACAGTGCTCTCTACTATAAGCTTCACTGGGGCAGGGACTATGGAAGCTCAATAAACACCAAATGTATGTGGATCAGATTACAGAAGAACCAGGTTCTCTGAAGGACTCTCCTGCACCTTATTCACAAATGGAAATGTGACAGATGAGGGGATTCCACAGACTGAATCCTGGGACAAAGATCTTCCAGACACATTTAATGTAATTCTTGACTTAGGGATCAGAGGAAAGAAAGTGTAGGGTGGAAATAAGACCTGAGCCTAAGGTCCTTTGTCAGGCCATTTCAACGTGTACATCAAGCTCATTTGAGCCTTATATCAACTCCACAAGACTAATGTAGTCATACAGAAGAGGAAATGGAGGTTCAGAGAGGCTTGACAAAGATCACATAACTGTCACCAACTGACTTCTCACCAGCTCCCAGTGTTTGCGAAGATGGTCCCCTGGTGGATGCTGGTTGGCATGTGAAATGTTCCATTGCATTACTAAAAGTGCCAACCTTCCTGGACGACACCTACTTCTCATGGACTCAGGCGTTGATATTGTTCTAAGGGGCAGATTCAGAACTCAAGGTGGAATGACACAGCCACAAAGGACTGTCAGCATCTACTGAGGACCTATCGCATATAAGATACTGGTACTTTACAACAATTAGTTCCTTTCATCTAATGTGCCCACTGGATAATAGGGAGCCTGTTAGTGAGTTTATAACAGAGTTTGAATTGGGAGTATGTATAAAGTAGCCATACATGAGCATGATTTATTTAAGTGTTGTTGGTATAGAAAACAAGTATCTTTGTAGTTTACTTTAGCATGTGATGAGCAGGATGGGTAAATGGAACCACAGCTCCGAACAATGACAAGCCGGGTGTAGTGCTGAGTATTGTTTTTACAGGAGAACATTTAATTCCCTTATCAGTCCTTTGAGTATCCTGTCTTTATTTTCATCTTATTGAACAGGGGAAAAAAAGACTTGTCCATGTTGAGTAAAGTTAGAGTCAGCAGAACTATCCAGGATTTGAATTGGAGTCTACCTGTCTCCGAAGCTCATGTTCTCTTCATTTTGCCCAAGATATCCTGGCAAATGTGGGTTTTCAGGAAGGCTGGGCGGCTGAAAGTGGAGAGATACTGAGTAGTAGGTGGGCTTTGGACATTAAGACTGCCAGGCAATGCTGAAGTTTGAGCTAAGGAACTGGAAGCGTTATTTGGAACACAGAAGAAAGTGACATATTCAAATTGACCAGGAAAGAAAAACTCACTCTGCTGCCAATTAGTCTGGGGGTGGGGTGGGGTGGTGGGGAGGAGACCTGCTATTCCAGGAAACCATGTCTTTACAGGGAAATGTCACAGTAATTGATTAGATGAGTCACCACATGCAAGCAACAGCTGTCTAGACTAGCTGGTTAGAAGCTTAAACATCCCGTTCTCACGAAATGGTAAATTATGTCAGTGGGAACCAGAGAGGGAAGAAGTACCAGAGGGGGCTCCCTGTTTAGAGATAGCATGAGACTCGAAAGTATGTACTTATTTTAATTCAACAATCTAGAAAAGTATTCAATTAAAAGTAGATCTCCTTCTAGGTTGCCACATCTGAGTCCCCTTCAGCAAAAGAAACCACTTTTATAGCCCTTCCCACAGCTTTCCAGAAAGTTTGTCCATTACAAACAAACAAACAGCCTCTGTTGAGTAGATACTGATTGACACACCCATTTGTGTCACAGTAGAATTGTGCTCCACAGGGTTTTCAGTGGCTGGCTGTTCAGAGGTAGATCACCAGGCCTTTCTTGCAACATACTTTTAGGTAGTCTTGAACCTCCAACCTTTTATTTAGCAGCTAAATGTGTTAACCATTTAAATCATCTGGAAATCCATACATACAAAGTTAATCTCATATTAAACAAAATGCTTTTTATTGGTACATAACATACATACATACATAAAAATATAAAACTTAGAAGCATTATCTTGATGAATTGCACCAAGTAAACACATCTATGTAGCTGGCACCCAGACCAAGGCTCAGAACCTGACCTGTTCTCACAATCCCCTCATTATACCCTTTTTCAATCATAGCCTATCAGGGGTAACCAATTAACCATGATTTTGAAAACCTATATCAAATTTTCCCTCTCCTAAACTATAAAAAAATTATTATCTCCTCTTCTTTTTTTTTTACTTCTCATTTAGAAATAATCACAGATTCATAGGACATTCTGCAAAGACTTCACCCATTTCCCCCCAGTGCGGGCATCTCATCTAACAATAATGCATCACTGAAACAAAGGCCTGGTGTTGGTACGCTGTGTGTGTGTGTGTGTGTGTGTGTGTGCACAGTTCTCACGATGCCGTGATATATCTGTGTAACTCCAGCACAGCCAGGACACAGTTCTTCCATTGCCTCCTGCCACCCTTTCAGTCGCACCCTCTCTCCTCTGTCCCAAAACCTGGCGACCGCTAGTCTGCTTCCAATCTCTATCATTTCATCCTTTCAAGAATACTATATAAACACAATGATATAGACTGTGTCCTTTGAGATGACTTCTTTACACAATATAATGTACTTGATGTACTCTCTGAGGTTTTGTGTCTATCAAAAAATCATTTATTTTATTGCTACATAGGATTCATTTCTTGATTATTACTTTAATAAATGTTGATTATAGATTATAGATAAATGTGGATCCAGGTAGAATGAAATCACTGGGGTAAGGTATGGGTCCCTTTTCATTCTTCTACAGATGGATATCCAGCACCATTTATTGATGAAGGCATCCCCTTCTCATTTAATGTTTTTTTGGGCCTTTGTTGAAAACCAGTTGTCTGTAGACAGATACTTCTATGTCTGGGGTTTCTGTCCTATTCCATTGGTCTATATATCTATCATTAAACCAGTACCAGGCTGTTTTGACAATTGTGTCCGTGCAGATGGTGTTAAAGCCAGGTAGTGCAAGACCATCTACTTTGTTCCTCTTTTTCACAAGTTCTTTGCTTATTCTTTACTCTCCATATGAAGTTGATAAACAATTTCTTTCACTTCTTTAAAGAACAATGTTGGGATTTGATTGGAATTGCATTGAATTTGTATATTGCTTTAGATAGTATTGACATTTTCACAATATTGAGTTTTCCTTTCCATGAACATGGGAGATTCTTCCATCTGTGTCGGTCTCTTTTGGTTTCATGTATTAATGTTCTGTTGTTTTCCTTATTCAGGTCTTTTGTTTCTTTAGTTAGGGTTATTTCTAGATATTTTAATTTTGTGTGGCTGTTGTGACTGTTATTGTTTTCTTGATGTCTTTTTTGGATCTGTCATCACTAGTGTGCAGGAGTCCAATTGATTTCTGCTTGTTAATTTTGTGTCCTGATACTTAACTAAATCCCTCGATTGTTTTGAAATCTGCAAATAGAGAGTTTCACTTCTTTGTCAAGTTTTAGTCCCTTAATTTATTGTTGTTGTCTTATGGCTATGGCCAGGACTTCCAGCAAAATGTTGAATAAGAGTGGCAATAAGAGACATTGTTGATGAATGTCTGTTTTCAGTCGGAATGTTTTCAACTTTTTGCCACTAAGTATGATATTAGCTGATGGTTTATCATATATGGCCTTTATCATATATGTCCTATCTTATTAAGTGTATAAGGAATTGGTAGTGAATATTGTAAAATGGTTTTTCTGCATCAATTGATATCATGTAGTTCCTATCTTTAATCTTGTTTATGTGGTGTATTGCATTAATTGTGTTTCAAATGTTGGACCATCCTTGAATCCCCTGGTATGAATCCCACTTGGTCATAATTTAAAAAAAATATGTTGTTGGATTCTACTGGCTAGGATTTTGTTGAGAATGTTTTCATCTACGTTCATGAGGGAGAATGGTCTTCTATCTTTGTGGAGTCTTTGCCTGGTTTGGGGACCAGGATTATTCTAGCTTTGTAGAATGAGTTTGGGGGCTTTCTGTCTCTTTCTGTGTTCTGGAGTCATTTGTATAGAATTGGTGACAACGCTTCTCTGAAAACTTCATAGAATTCTCCGGTGAAGTCATCTGGTCCTGGACTTTTTTTTTGGTTGGGAGTTTTTTTCTGACCTTTTTTATTTCTTCTTTTGCTATGGCTCTGTTCAAGTTTTTATTGTCCAGCTGCATTACTTTGAGTAGAAGGTGTTTTTATAGGTATTTTTCCATGTCACCTACATTACCAAATTTGTTGGAATTCAGTCTTTGATAATATTGTGTCATTATTCTTTTTATTTCATTTGGTTCTGTTGTGATGCCACCTGTTCCGTCTCTAATTCTAGATATATTTCTCTGCTTCTTTTTCTTTGTTAAGTTTGATAGCAGTTTGTCAATTTTGTTGATCCTTTCAAAAATTAACTTCTTGTTTTGTTGATTTCTCCATTGTTTTTCTGTTTTCTGGCTTATTTATTTCTGCTTTAATTTTTTTTTAAATCGTTTTATTAGGGGCTCATACAACTCTTATCACAATCCATACATACATCAGTTGTGTAAAGCACATTTGTACATTCATCGCCCTCATCATTCTCAAAACATTTCCTCTCCACTTAAGCTCCTGGCATCAGGTCTTCATTTTCCCCCCTCCCTCCCCATTCCCCTCTCCCTCATGAACCCTTGATAATTTATAAATTATTATTTTGTCAAATCTTGCCCTGTCCGACGTCTCCCTTCACCCACTTTTCTGTTGTCCATCCCCCAGGGAGGAGGGTCACATGTAGATCCTTGTAATCAGTTCCACCTTTCCAACCCACCCTCCCTCTATGCTCCCAGTATTGGCACTCACACCACTGGTCCTGAAGGGATCATCCGCCCTGGATTCCCTGTGTTTCCAGTTCCTATCTGTACCAGTGTACACCCTCTGGTCTAGCCAGATTTGCAAGGTAGAATTCGGATCATGATAGTGTGGGGTGGTGGGGGGAGGAAGCATTTAGGAACTAGAGGAAAGTTGAATTTTTCATCCTTGCTACATCGCATCCTGTCTGGCTCGTCTCCTCTCCGAGACCCCTCTACAAGAGGATCTCCAGTGGCCTACAAATGGGCTTTGGGTCTCCACTCTGCCCTCCCCCCCCCTCATTCACTATGGTAAGATTTTTTTGTTCTGATGATGCCTGATACTTGATCCCTTCGACTCCTTGTGATCGCACAGGCTGGTGTGCTTCTTCCATGTGAGCTTTGTTATACAGGAGTTGGATATGTCTTGACAGTATTTCATGGTAGGGATATGCCACAGTTTGTTTCAACCATTGGGATGAATATGGCAGGCCGTTGACTCAAATCCAAAGAACCAGATGTTGATGAACAAGATGTAGGCCCCAGACCCAGAAAGACATAGAAAAGTTTTTCCATGTCATCCACTTATATTGGAAGCAGATCACAGCCTTGAGGAAACATTCTTTCAATGGAATGCATCAGAGATGTGACCCGAGTTAGGGTGTTGCATCCCACCCTAATGTTTTTAAGATTGGCTATTCATAGCAGATCCCATTATGGAGATGATTACATTATTTTGGTCACATTATTTTCCTGTCAGTTTAAAGTATATTTAATATTCTTTGCCAACATTACTTACACTTCAAAGGTATTATCCTTTCTTACTCATTGTCCAGCATTTGAGTATAGATGAAGCTATTGGAATACCATGGCTTGGGTCAGGTGGACCTTAAACCTTCAGAATGACACTTTGCTTTGTAACATTTTAAGAGATATTGTGTAACAGATTTTCTCAGTACAATAAATCATTTTATTTCCTGACTGTTGTTTCCTTGAGTGTTGATTGAGGGTCCAAGTGTAACTAACTCCGTGGCAACTTCAATGTTTTTTCTGTTTATCCTGATGTTGCTTATTGGTTCAGTTGGGAAAATTTTCGTTGTCTTCATGTTGATGTGTAATCCATATTGATGGCTGGACTCTTTGATCTTCACCAGAAAAAGCTTCATGGACCCTTCCTTCTCAGCCAACAAGGTTGTGCCATCTCCACATCATTGGGTGATAAGAAGTCTTTCTCCAATTCTGATGCAATGCTCTTCATATAGCTCAGTTTGGATTATTTGTCCAGCACACAGATTGGGTAAGCATTGTGTAAAAATATAACCCTGATAAACCCCTTTCCTGATTTTATTTATTTATTCCCTTTTCTGATTTTAAACCACATAGTATCACCTGGTTCTGCTAAAATGCCTTTTGTTTATGTACAGGTTTTTTTTTTTTTAAAGATCATTTCATTGGGGCCTCTTACAGCTCTTATACCAATCCATACATCAATTGTATCAAGCATATTGGTACACATGTTGCCATCATTATTTTCTATTTGAGTCCTTGGTATCAGCTCCTCTTTTTATGCTCCTTTGCTTGCCCCCCCCCTTGATAAATTATAACTTATTATTATTTTCATATCTTACACCAACTGCTGTCTCCCTTCCCCAGTGGTTTCTTCCCCCTTCATCTACCCACCTTCTACCTACCCTCCTGGTATCACTACTCCCATTTCTGTTTCTGGAGGGTTTATCTGGGTCAGGTGTGATTTCATCACAAGCCTCTTACAGATAAGATGAGTTCTTATCTGTACCTGTGTTATGTACAGGTTTTGTATGAGTAAAATTAAGTGTTCTGGAATTGCCATTCTTTACAATGTTACCCAAACTTTGTTATGATCCAAACAACTGAGTGGATTTAGTAGTCGTTAATCAATGAGAAAGGCAACAGGCTACTGGATCATAGGGTTGTAGGAGGTGGCAAAAGCAAAATATGTAGATCAAGTGGCAAGCTCATGGCTTCTTATACCCGCCAAACTGGAAGTCAGATGGGACAAGGGCAGAATTAAGAGAGAGAGAGAAACACAGAGACAGACAGACCAAAACATTCAGTTATTGGATGTAAACCACTCAGTTATTGGATGTAACCCACACCACTAAGGAAATTCCCCTTCCAATTGATTGACTCCTCACATTAGACCAACATAATGGAGGATGATCCCAAAACACTGAGGATCATGGTTTAGGTAAGGTGATAGATGACAATAGCCATATCATTAACTATTGACTCCCCCTTGTGGTGACTTTATGTGCGACAGAATATGATCCTGCATTACACTCACCATTGCCAGCATGTTTGAATTATTGTTGTGGCCACTATGTAAATGCATTTGACTGAGGATCTCCTTTGTCCTCATTGGATCTCTACTAAGGCATCACATGATGGCATCACTACAACTGAGTCTTCCTGATGACATACCCAAAGAGAGTCACACAAGGTTATGCTGTAATCTGGAGGGTTTTTATTAGTTGATTTTTGAGTTTAAACTGGGTATTTGGATTGTTTCCAGTGTTTTGCTAATATAAATAATGCTACAGTAAATCTTTATATAATTTATACAGTATATTTTTTATGTTATTCCTTATTATAAGGTTACTTTCCAGAATAGCTTTGTGAGAGCTGGCAGTGTTTTGTTCTGTTGTACATATGTCTAGTATGAGTTAGAACCAAGTAGATACTAACAATTAACAAGGACTCCAGTGAGGTGGTGGTGAGGGACCTGCTTTAGTTAGGCAGGCTGAGATGTAGCTTAAGTCAAAGCCAACTTAAAGAAATAAACCCATAGTTTATATGTGAAATGAAGTATTAGTAGAAAACAATTAAAAATCTCCATTACAATTAGGATGATAGCCAGAACATAATCTGTGAAATCAGTCTGTCTGGCCCAGATGGCTAGGTACAGTATGGAGAATGGCACCCAGCCTACCTTTTCCAGCTGAGATGTGCTTTCATCACAAGCCTCTTTGATCAGGTTCCGGGCCTTGGTGAGATTGCCCTGCTTGTAAGCAGTGTTGATGCCTTCTGTCCAAGAAAACGCTGCCATACAGCCATTATCTGATGTAGATGGTTTGCTGCCCACATCCATGTTACCTGCAAAACAGGAAGAAACAAACATAAAAAAATCTACAGAGAAAATAGTATGAGATATGGAACAAATTTCAT